TTGGCAATTGATTTTCCCACCCAACCCTCCACGTGCACGTTTTCTTGATTTTGGAGGAATTGCTGAGAATGTGAAGCTTGAAAAACGTACTGTTGAAATGACTTTATTTGAAAACCAAAAATTGATGCAACCTAGTGCAAAAATGCCTTGCTCGTGTCGGCTTGCCGAATTAGACAGGCATAACTTCATTTTGGTTCAAGCAAAGAGGGACATTCTGGAGAAGTTCTTGCAAACTAGGCGTATAGACTAGATACAACACGGGAAGACTTCGTCTTGTTCATAGCCGGTGCCGAGTCGTCACTATCCACAGTCAAGAGTATGCACTTGATGAAATTCAAACAAATATGTCTTCAACGGGGTACAAACCAACCAGTAGAGACATGTGATGAAATGATGCTATTAATTTATATTGTATTACAAAATCACAAATTATTGATGATTTTAAAAATTATAACGGTGTCATTTCTTTTACTTTAAATCTGTGATACACTAAAAATCATAAAGAATATATTTGCATCGCAGCCCATTATATTGATGAGTTTTGGATCCTACATAAAAAATAATTTCATTAAGGTCATTGAGTTTTCGCACAATGTGCAAAATACTTTCAATGTTTTAACGGACGTACTATGAGAATTTTGTTGCGAAGATAAAGCTTATACTTTCACTTCTGATAATTCTAGTGTTAACACAATCGCTATGAAAAAATTGATTAAGCAACTCAATCCGAATTTTGTTGCAAAACTTTTTCACGTACATTGTGTTGTCATATTTTTAATTTAATCGTGAAAGCATTCATACAGTTCTGATTATGATTTAAATTCTAATGACCAGTTTGATTTTGAAATAATGAATTTTTGAAAAATATAGAAATTGTTCGCTTTTACGACATTATTAGTATACTATGGAGATGAAATTTCGAAAATATTGGAAGGACTTGGTATGTTATTCACTCTAGTTACTGTTATAAACCTTCATATTAACGTACATTGTTGTAAAGGTATAATGGAAAAAACGTCTCGCATTTTACATTTGATATCCGCATTATGATATAGAAAGTTCTTTGTGTAATTTGCATTCAAGATATGCTGCCAAACACAATAGAAATAATTATCTACGACCACTACCTTGTACTATTTCATCATTCCCCAATGACGATATATGCAGTGCCGTAGCCAGGATTTCAATCTTGCGGGAGTCTGCCCCCGAAATTTTTTTTAACTAAGAGAATTGAAAATGACGATTTTGAGTACCAAAATAGGTAAGTTAGATTGACTGACCAAAAAATAATTAGTTATGTCCATCTATGTGTCCAACGCTATACAAATTAAAAACATGAACGTTAGATGGACATCAATGGGTGTTTGTAGTCGGGATTACATTTTGTGAGCTGTATGGCTTGTGGGTATATTTTTGGGTAATTAATTTATAAAGGGGTGATTTGTTTTTGGATTGGATTTAGACTATTTATTTATTTAAGTAACTATTGGATCTTTTGTTTAGGTATAAGATTTTTGTATGGTTGAATTTTAAAGTATAAGTTATTGAGTCAATATTTATTAATGGAAAAAAAATTTCAAGATTTTGTCGAGGCGAGTCAAAATTTTTGCGGGGTTAAATTGAAAAATACATTACAAATTAACTAGAAATAGTGGACTAGCAGACAATGTTGGGGGCGATCGTCCCCTTGCCCCCCTATCCCTGTCTCTAGATATATGGGTGTTGTTATCCCCCAATTCCGGGGTTAAAAGGAGCAAGGCCACGTAGGCAGGATGGTCAACAAAAAGTCAAAGGGGGCC